TTATTGGCAGATTTAGAATATACTGGAAATCTTAGATGGATGTTCAGGTTGCTGGAGATACATATAAGCATGAAGGCCTTTTCAATTGGGCAACACTATAATTGAAGGAGATTGACACATTGAACGCAAGTGGAATTTCGTCTCTTTTTTTTTTCTTGAATCATGGTTTGAGACTCAAAATGCTTACCAGATATTATTGTCAGTCAAATCTAACCCAAAGTTTGACTGAATTGAATATATTCGAGAAGATTAAGAAACAGAGTTCCTCATTTCCATATAGGTCATAGAGAGTGCTTAATGTCAACAGAATATGATGTAAGATATAGGTTTATACTCTTTGATTTTACTGGTTCAGATTTTTAGCATCAAATACAATGAATTCATTTTGTTTAGAAGGCTAGAAACATCTGTTAGCTGAATTTGTTTCAATATTTTGCGAGCTGCACGTACTTTTGTGGCCTTGATCTGTTTCCACTCTTGGCATTCTTGTGAGAACAGAAAAATATGATCTTTCTATTTACCAATGTTGATTTACATTTGTTATAAGTTGACATTTGCTTATAATGTTTGGAGTTAGGAAGCCTACACTAGCGTGTGAAATCTCATGAAGAAACTACAGCAGGAAAATGAGAACTTAATATTCTCATTTAGCCCGTCTTTGACATTCATTAAATTAAAACTCTTTTATTTTCTCAAACTTATTTTCAACTAAATATTCACACAATAAAAGATTTTGCACTTTTAACTAAAAAAAAAATTCCTCCTTTTTAACTACATATTCTCTAAAAAATTACTATTTCAAAACTCTTTTTTTCCTTCAATAACTCATTTTAATGGATGTCAAATAGTGGCTTAATCCTGTTCTTGAGAGTAGCTACCCCTATTTGTTACATGCCTAGGTACTAGGTTAAACAAGCGTTTGGCTACATTTTCATTGTTAATGATCTTCTATACTATTCATTCAATCCACGATTGCATTCTCAACCCTTGTTCGATAGTCATTTTTTGGATAGAATGAGTCTTTTAATAGTAATTTTTTTCAGAATGCGTGCTTAGAGAGTAGATTATTGAAAAATATTTTATTGTGAGAATTTATTGTTGAAAATCAGCATGAGTAAAAAAGAATTTTGAAAGATTGGATGTCAGAGAGAGGCTTAATTGTGTGTGTGTCCCCTTTTTTTTTCCCTTTTTTTTTAGTGAATTGTATCACCATTCTCACTAATGGGCTTGTCTCTGGACTTCTGGATTTCCTTTGTAGTTTTCCTTTCGGGTCCAAGTTTGAAGTTGAGGCCTGAGGGTGGTTTTAATCAACCCAAGAGCCAGATTCTTCCTCCAAATTTGAGTTTCGAATATTTGCAGTTTTTGGGTTGGATCGACAATCCAATTTACAACCTTAACTATTATGGCATTCCAAATCAAAATTTTAGCCACAATAATAGCATACCACTTTTATTTCTTGATCCAAGTTTAATAACCCAGGTATATAGGCAACTTACTAAGAAGCCCACTATTACCCTAAAGATTTAGCCGTCTCAAGTTTTAATTTTAGAACATATACAAAATTTTAACTCATTTTTCTTCTTTAATCCTCTCAATAAAGCCAAGAGTACAAGAAAATTTTAACAGAGCTTGTATCAACACTGATATGGCAAAATATAATCGGACTTTTTTTATTTCTTTTTTTCCATCTTCCAATGATATCGCGTCATGTGTTGTATGTAAGATTTTTCTATAAAAAAATTCTGTACCTATGACATTGTTCTAATCCTATACAATGCTATATAATCCAGAATTAACAATCACTAAAGCCTATATTCCACTCAGCTTAGTAGATCCAACAGCTATAAATTGACAATTAGTAGATCCTATTACAACTCTACGACATTATGTTTATTTTGAAATTTGAAGTTTGATTAGGACTAACCATTTTGTACGGATGTAGCTAGGGTTTTTGTAGAAATGTTTTTAGGGTTATTATGAATGTACAGTTCTTACAACCTCCTCACATGAAGGGACCGTCATGCATGCTGTACACAAAGTGTATAGCAAGCATGATTCACGTTTTTATCATATTCAGTTTTGCTTCTTGTACGAAGGAAATCTTGCCAAATGTTTTACAGGTGCCGATTGGTTACTCTTTTAACCTTTGACGAATGAAAAATTTCCAATTGTATCTATAAATAATCTAATAGTACTTTATTCTGTACATGTAGTACTGCCCTATCATGTTTTGGTCAAACACAAGTTTGTGATCTAATTTATACTTATCGCAGCCTTCAGTACATAATTCAAAGTGCACGACAAAATGTGATGTATATGTCATGTCATATCAAATCATTTTTGCACGCCAGACTAGGAGACCAATTAGCAGCCAATATTTTTGCACTTCTGAAAAACATTCCACAACTTGATTGGATCTTAGAAACTGTTTCCACTTTCCAACCCAAAAAACAAAGATATTCTCAAATAAAGAGTGATTCCACTAACTTGTTTAACTTAAAATGATGATGAAAAGATGTGAGATTGTTGAATTACGTGGTACCAAAGTTGATTCGGATGGTACAACAATTTGGTCTGCCATATTAATTTTTGTTAGTGGAATCTGAATCAATTTTTCCTTTGGTGTCCAATCTAATCACGTGAAATATTCTTGGAAAGGGATTTTTCAAATATTTTAATTTGTTCTTACTTTCTTTCTTTTCAAATTGTCCTTCAATTGGGTTATTACAGACGTGACATATCATTGAGATCAAATGAAAATTTAACGGAAAATACACTTTTACTTTAAAACATTAATTATTTACTCTATTTGTTGATGCGTGAAAACGGACATTTGCTATTTTATATTAATCTTTGATATTCGTTAAGGTGGTGTTCAAAGACAACACAATATGACAAACTCATTAGATCATTAATCAAACAGTCGCGCTTACAAAACCTGTACCGAATGCTCAAAGCACCGGGTGGTGAGTGGGATTTTTTTGTAATTTTTTATACAGGTGAATCCCGTGTGGGACCCAATTGGTGTGAGTGTTGGTAGGAATTCTATGAAACAGAACTCCTGTAAACCCGGCATTATTTTTAATCAAATACCAATTTCTCACAATTTCACACCTAAAATTGAATTATGTAATTTTGTAGTTATAACTTTTTTAATGGGCATTGATAAAGTAGATATAAATATGAAATTCGTGTATGACATTCAAATTGCAAATCTTATGTCCAAACATTATGTTTGTATGATCACAAATATCTCAAAACTTTTCAATACAAAACTAATTTAATAATATATGGAGATGTGGCTGGATCAAGACCCACCCATTATTCTTTACTTTTTTCTTGACCAATATAGTGGTAAAACTCTGATTTTAGCTTGATTTTATCCCCAAATAATTGGAAAGCAATTCCGGATTTATCCATTATAATCATTATGTTTCTTGTTGTGAGATGGAACTAAAAATCTCTGTTTTTCAGCAGAAATTTATTTAAGTAAATACACATTAATATCATACATTTCAAAGAATATTTTAGTATTAATTTGTATTATAAATATGTATAATATCATCTAAATACCAAGGTGGAGACCCAAAAACTCTTACCTAGGGACGATAATGGGTCTGAGCAGCTAGTCTACTCAGTGAGGTGGCTTGTGAGAGCTCAACAAATGGGAGACTCCAACTTATTCCACAACAATAAACATGGATCCAGTAGAGCCAAGCTTAGAAAGTAAAACCTGTTTGCTTTGCGAGCGCCCTACTTTCCTTGTTTTTTATTTAATTATGTTAAATTTTCTTATTTTAATCTCATGTTTAATTTTTTTCTCTTTTTCTTTAAATGCTGCATTTAAAAAATTGAAAAGCCTAATGTCCTGCTCGACCGGTCACTAGTATGGTCCATTGGTCAAGTTGTATCTATCACCACCTACTCTAGAGATGGCAATCAAGCCGAGGGCTTATTGGCTCGACTGCTGGACTTGTAAAAAAGGCGGCTCTAGCTCATATTTGAACGAGCCCGAGCACTAGCCGAGTGGACTAACTCACTAGGCGAGCTGAACCCGCTCATCTCGCCCCCGCTCATGGGAGAACCTATGAGCCTACCCACAAGTCGGCTCGTGGGCAAGTGGTCAAGCTCGTGATGCATTTTTAAGAAATTGACCGCTTCAATCACTGATATAGTTTAGAGACCGTTTTGCAAACAGTTACCGAGTTTGCAAAGTGATCGTTTTTTGCCACCTTTTTTCTTCCTTTTTTTTTTTTTACTCTATAAATACTCCAATCGATTTCCAATTTTTTTCACACAACATTCCAATAACAATTCTCACTCTTTTACTTTATACACAATCTACTGCTACTACATTTCCAATTTTCTACATTCACTTTCAATTATTCAATATTATTATATCAATTACAATTTTCAATTTATCACACTACAAATTTACTTATTTATACTGACTATACACTAACGCTATACATTTCATAAGAAGTTCACAAAACAAATGAATCCACACTCATTTGTTGAGGGCTTGTTCGACAGTGTTGGAGGCGAATCACCTATAACGCCGCAAAGTCAATTTCGAAATGAATTTGTTGGTTTAAACGAAGTACTAATTGCCTAAAATATTCCAGATTTTCAAACTCAAGGAAGTAGTAATATAATTGATTTGGATGATGTTGATGTTCCTAAAGCAGAACATGAGGAGGAACATGTATTAGATATTTTTGATACAAGAGGGAAGCGAAAGGCGAAAAAAGGCAAAATGTCGATATTACTTTAAATTAACTTCAACGGGTCATGTCATCGATGGAGTTACGGAGTGTAAAGTATTATGTAAATACTATCAACAACGATTGGGTCATTGGTACTACCCATATGAACCGTAACTACAAAGCATGTGTTGTCAAACATGGGCTTCTACAATTTGGTAGTCTAACCATTGATTCTGCTTCTACAACACTTTGCTAATGGATGTATTCGAAAGAGAAAGCTCGAATGAAATTTGTGAAGTCCATTGCTGGTGCTGAGTTACCTCTATCTCATATGTGAAAGAATATTTTCAATCGAGGTACATTGGGATAAGTAGAAACACTTATTGTTTTGATACAATAGAATATTTCCATAATAAGAAAAAAATGATTACGAATTGCAGAAATATGGGGATGTTATATTTTTAACTTCAAATATATCAGAAGGGATTAATAAAATAGGTTATATAGCTGCAATACACACTATGTATATAGACCCGCGTTGGTGTTTACACAAAAAAATTATTACTTTTAAAATTATTGAG